GCGTTGTAAGTGCGCAGACATTACTTTGTTCCATTGGGAGGCTTGATACAAAGAAAAAATGTTTCCAAAAAACGATGGTTGGAACACAACCAACGTTGCGCTTCTTCGGGCACACTAAACTGACTACTTTTCAGAGAGTTCACTGGTGGTAAAATGATGGTAGCACTTCCACTCCCAGAAGATGAAGCTCGCATCAAGACGCTGACAATGAACGAGTTCTTTATAGATTGTCCTCCCAGAGCCTGCAAAGTCATGCAAATAGCTGATTAATTGTGGTTGCAAAATGGCTTGTAGAAAGGAATGTAAATTTTTAATGCCCCCTTCCATGTACCACGCTTGTGAGGAGGTTTATGATACAAAACAATGATAAATATATATTTATGTGATTGTAAAGAGTCATGCTACAAACACAATATTCAAGATAGCAGTATGTGAATGTGGAGAGTCATGCTACAGAGACAATGACAATATGGGGGGGGGGGGAGGCAATCGGAGAGTAAGAGATAATCCATGCGATAAATACGTCGTTGTAGTGGTGGAAGACTTATTGTTGCTGGACACATTTTGCGTGAAATAAGTTAAACCATCAACTTAAACTCGTAGTTTTTAACCATGGTGTGTGTTTCAATAACACATCTAATGTCAACATCAATTTGAACTAGTAGTTTTTAAAAATGGTGAGTGTTTACATAATACATTTAATGTCACCGTCAGTTTGAACTAGTAGTTTTTAACCATGGTGAATGTTTACATAATGTATTTAATGTCACCGTCAACTTGAACTTGTAGTTTTTAACCATGTTGAATGTTTACATAATGTATTTAATGTCATCACCAACTTGAACTTGTAGTTTTAACCATGTTGAATGTTTACATAATGTATTTAATGTCACCATCAACTTGAACTTGTAGTTTTAACCATGGTTTGTGTTTACATAATGTATTTAATGTCACCGTCAACTTGAACTTGTAGTCTTAACCCTGGTGAATGTTTACATAATGTATTTAATGTCATCACCAACTTGAACTTGTAGTTTTAACCATGGTGAATGTTTACATAATGTATTTATGTTCTGAAACATTTGGTTCTACTTGACTTTAACTCTATGCAGACGGACATCTTCTTCATGGCAAAACTTCTTTTAGCAATGTTTTTAAATATTATATATTGCGTTTATTTTATGGGAAAAGATTCCGATACACGTTGTTACTAGAACGAAAGTTTAATGATATTTGTTTGCTACAAGTAATTATGTTAATGTTATATACTGCTTTCTCTTACAGGAAATGGTGCCGATCCACGCTGGTACTTGTACCATAGTTTAATGTCATGGTTTATGTTGCTAAAGTAATATTGTTGTTATATATATATTGCTGTTCTCTCAAGGAAAATGGTTCCAATCCACATTGGTACTAGTACCATAGTGTAATGTCATGGTTATGCTACAAGTAACTTAATTAAATGTTAATATGCGTTGCTTTTTCTTACAGGAAGTGGTTTCGATCCACGCTGGTATTAGTACCGTTGTTCGGTGTCCACTATGCTATATTATTAGGAATGTCCTTCTCTGCTGGAGTGAACGAACTTGTGGAGCTCATCTGGTTGTATATCGATATTTCGTTTTCCTCATTCCAAGTAAGCCAGGATATCGTTATACAACTACTTAAGAAGTAGAATTTAGAAACACGTTTGTGCAGAGTGACGGTGTTACGGTGATTAACGTTTTAGCGTGTTTCTTAAACATGCTGGTACAGAGTGACGGTACTACGTGCCCTTATCTTGCGTAAAATGTTTCGTTGAAAACTAATGCAGAGCTACTGTATTATATGACTAACGTTTACATAATATTTCATTAATATATTGATACAAAATGACGGTATTCTGTACCTTTAACGTTCGTAGAATAGTTCGTTAGTATGCTAGTACAGAGTGACGGTACTATATGACTTTAAGAGTTTATAGAATGTCTGATAAAAGATATTATGAACCACTATCGTGGTTCATAATAGGGGTCGCAAGGAACTGCACAAATCCTTAATAGAACGTTCGGGCAAAAAGCATCTTAAACAATAAAGATTCAGCTCAAACAACACTTGAAAACCATTACTATTGACTGCTAAGGCTGTATGAATATGAAAATGCACATAAAAAGCACGCATGTTAGTTTTACAAGAAAAAGAAAATCCGATTAAAACGGTCCGTTTGTAATTCTTCTTCTACTACTACTACTACTCTTCTTAATTTCCAGCCTACAACAAAAACGGCTTGATATATTGTACCCAAACCTTTTGTAGAATACTAAATACGTTACTGCGAATATCTTAGGAGTATCGAAAAGTCGGTTTATATATTCTATGTTTTATATAAGCTAAAAATATCACAATTCTAGTGTAAACGGTGTTATCATTACCCCTTGTAGTTAGCTTACTTATGAATACCTGGTGTTTCTTTAAAAAGCCTAAGTACAGGATGAAACAGGAATTACCAGCCACTAATAGATGAATGTTAGATGACTATAACATGTTGATACTCAATGTTTTGTAAACTATACAATCGGTGGTTTTAGGGAACCAACATCTATATTATGTATGAAGTGAATGAGTAAAAAAATCAATACACATAATATTAAATTTTATTAAACACATTCGTAGAATATTTACTTTAAAAGACACGAAGGTTTATTTAAAGCGATGTTTTAGACGAAAATGTTTTACTTCAAAATGGCTGCTTTTCTACTGGTAAAATTTTATACGTGTTCATGAAAATTTCCAACTGCAGCTTAACATTTTACATCTCGAACTAATGAGATCAAATAGTCAATAGCTGCAGTAAATCATCATGAACCGTATCAGCTAGCTACTAGCTATGTTTTTATCATTACAATGTATAAAGTCAGCTACCATATCAAGTAATCCTTTACACAAAGTTGAGCATAATAGACGCCAGCAAACAAGATAAATTTTTGAAAACTGGAATTTAAGAACCTGCAAACAGGGATTGTAAAAAAGTAAGGAAACAAGGTTGCGGATACTGTAGAGATTATTTACTCAAACTACAAATCCCTATTTTTACTCTACCAGATATAATTCCAGGTAACAACATGGAGCCAAAATAGGGGTTTGTAGTTTGAGTAAATAACGTCTACAGTATCTGTAGCCTTGTTTCCTTACTTTATTAGGATCACTATTTGTATATTTTTGAATTCCTAATTTTGTACTTGTCTTGTTTATCATAAAGTACAATTTTTATTGTTCCTGAAAATAAAAATAACGGAGAGAAAAAAGAACGAAAAACTTTTAGGGCAGAATGACTATTTTTCTTAGTAAATATTTGAACAAATTGAAATACCTTCAAATAAAGATTTAGCGTAATTTTTCCATAGGTTTGGTTTATCATATCAGACAGTAATACTCTAATCATGTTTCATAAAGTTCCATATTTTACAGTATTAAAGCAATTTGTTTGTTTGTTCAAATTTCGAGTAAAACTACTCGTGGGCTAGCTACACTAGTCGTCCAGAAATGCGAAATGACAGCTAAACAACTCCACCCGCCGCCAACTTTCAGGCTAATCTTTTACCAGCAAATAATGATATTGATCGTTGAATTGTAATGCCCCCAGGTGAGCCTATTCGGCGACGGGTTTCGATCTCCCCACCCGCAAAGCCAGGTCGTAGGTATGGTTCAGTGTTTTTAATCCCTAACTAACCTATTTAAAGGAAAACCCGTATAAAGAGTTTCTTATTATTTATGATTTAGCGCATAAAAGCTGATAAGTGTTCGTTGGTCACTGGCAAAGTTGCATGTCTTGTAAATGTGGCCTTTACATTTAGGCATGGCCAGGTGGTTAGGGCGCTCAACTCGCAATCTGAGGGTCGTGGGTTCGAATCCCCGTCCCACCAAACATGCTTGCCCTTTCAGCCGTGGGGACGTTATAATGTGACGGTCAATCCCACTGTTCGTTGGTAAAAGAGTAGCCCAAGAGTTGGCCGTGGGTGGTGATGACTAGCTGCCTCTAGTCTTACACTGCTAAATTAGG